CCTAAACACAATATGCATATGAATTTTACCTACAATGGTAAGATGCCATATTGGTTACTGTACCTTGGGGAACTTGCTCTCCTCGTCTATGAGAGATATGATGTTCATGGGTTTATTGGCGATCATGTCCAGGGCATCCTGGTTGTCGGTTGAACTCGATATGTTGCCAGTTGATGTCCTCTAGGTTGTACTCCTCCTGCTCCAGCTTGAACACATGCCTCACAAAGAACTGCTGCAGGTTCTCATTGGCAAAGTTGATGCACAGCTGCTCAAAGCTTCAGGGAAGAAGGAACATAGCGAGAGCGGGTCACTCTGCAGCCAATGAATTTAGGGGGTGTGTTTGTGTGTGTTCCTCACTTTGATAGTAAAACGTGTCAGTGTGTGTGTGGTTCAAGTGTGTGTGCGGTTGTGTATGATTCTCGTTGGCAAAATTGATGCACAGCTCCTCAAAGCTACAGGGAAGGAATGTAGCAAGAGCCGGTCACTGGACAGCCAATCGAGTTCAGATATAAAACCATGCAGTGAGCATGTCAACCACCAAATCAAAGAAAGAGGCTGTCGCTATCATCTCACTTTAGTCGGGTACATACTATTGTCATCAAATTTTTCAACAGAGAATAGTATTCATAACAATTATTATGTCATGGTATGTCATGTCATGTTCAGTTCCAATGTACCCTAAATGGACAACAAAGCTTTTAGACTACAACATCCCCAAAGCTGGGGTCAGTTAGAGGACCCACCTGTTGGACAGTAAAGTTCTCGAAGCCGAAGATATCGAGCAGGCCGATGGACCTCCTTACGATCTTACTCTCACAGGACGGAGGTCTAAAGATGGCCGCGTTGATCTTGTCCACGATCCACACAAACAGCCTCCCATAGATACCCTGGGACAGGAGGGACGATGTTCGTTTACAATGTGTGTGTGTGTCTACACAAACAGCCTCCCATAGATACCCTGGGACAGGAGGGACGATGTTCGTTTACAATGTGTGTGTGTGTGTGTCTACACAAACAGCCTCCCATAGATACCCTGGGACAGGAGGGGACGATGTTCGTTTACTATGTGTGTGTCTACACAAACAAACTCCCGTAGATACTCTGGGAGAGACAGCTTTCATTAGACAGGAGAGAACGTTTACCTTTGTGAAGGATCTGATTTAGGAGTGTGTGTGTGTGTGTGTGTGTGTGTGTGTGTGTGTGTGTGTGTGTGTGGTGTGTGTGTGTGTGTGTATGTCCTCACTTTGATACTAAAATGTGTGCGTGTTCCAGTGCATGCGTGTTTGTGAGGGTCCTGACCTTGACGAAGGCGTCCCTGACGTCCAGGCCCTGTTCCATGCTGAGGGGGGTGGACAACTCTCGCCCCGGGTGATCAGGGTACGAGTGGTCAGACATGACATCACGTCCTTAGGGTCCACCCTACCACAACAACACAACAACATACTGTAGTAGAGTACAAACAACACAATATACAAACACTGTGATGCACTCTACAGTACAAGCCCAACACAGAGATGGTGTACCGGTAAGTCACTATTACCCACCTCCATCAGAGATGCAGCAGTGGACAGGTCTGGAGATCGCACCACCACACAGGCATCCAGGTTGTCATAGGTATGGGCTGTTGGAATGTATGCGTTTTGCAAGGGGGAGGAAAGGGAGAAAGCAAGTGAAGAGTTTAGTTCCAAAACATTATATCCACCACATCTGTGTTTTTTCATCCGAAATGATTTCTTATGGGTACCTTCATCTTTGTGTAAATATTACTGTTCTCAGATTTCTTATTCATACATTTTAGATGTTTATTAAAATTGGGTTTGTTGTAAAACGCTATATATCAATTGTTTAGCTGGAATGGAATGTTTGTATTCTGTATATTTGACTGTAATTGTCTCACCTAGCTATCTTAAGATGAATGCACTAACTGTAAGTCGCTCTGAACAAGAGCATCTGCTAAATGACTAAAATGTCAAATGTAAATATATTACATACAGATCTCATATTACTGTATTGATTCATAAAACATTTAATTGATGTCACAAATGTATCATTTGTACAGTTATTTATTACAAATGTAGTTATTTATCACATTTAACTATATAAAACCTAGCAGTACTACTTATTCCTCTGTGAGTGAGGCGGATATACAGTGAGGGAATAAAGTATTTGATCCCCTGCTGATTTTGTACGTTTGCCCACTGACAAAGAAATGATCAGTCTATCATTTTAATGGTAGGTTTATTTGAACAGTGAGAGACAGAATAACAACAAAAAAATCCAGAAAAACGCATGTCAAAAATGTTATAAATTGATTTGCATTTTAATGAGGGAAATAAGTATTTGACCCCCTCTCATTCAGAAAGATTTCTGGCTCCCAGGTGTCTTTTATACAGGTAACGAGCTGAGATTAGGAGCACACTCTTAAAGGGAGTGCTCCTAATCTCAGTTTGTTACCTGTATAAAAGACACCTGTCCACAGAAGCAATCAATCAATCAGATTCCAAACTCTCCACCATGGCCAAGACCAAAGAGCTCTCCTAGGATGTCAGGGACAAGATTATAGACATACACAAGGCTGGAATGGGCTACAAGACCATCGCCAAGCAGCTTGGTGAGAAGGTGACAACAGTTGGTGCAATTATTCGCAAATGGAAGAAAACACAAAATAACTGTCAATCTCCCTCGGCCTGGGGCTCCATGCAAGATCTCACCTCGTGGAGTTGCAATGATCATGAGAACGGTGAGGAATCAGCCCAGAACTACACGGGAGGATCTTGTCAATGATCTCAAGGCAGCTGGGACCATAGTCACCAAGAAAACAATTGGTAACACACTACGCCGTGAAGGACTGAAATCCTGCAGCGCCCGCAAGGTCCCCCTGCTCAAGAGAGCACATATACAGGGCCGTCTGAAGTTTACCAATGAACATCTGAATGATTCAGAGGAGAACTGGGTAAAAGTGTTGTGGTCAGATGAGACCAAAATCGAGCTCTTTGGCATCAACTCAACTCGCCGTGTTTGGAGGAGGAGGAATGCTGCCTATGACCCCAAGAACACCATCCCCACCGTCAAACATGGAGGTGGAAACATTATGCTTTGGGGAGCAGCAAACAGTGCATGAACATAAGCCTTTTATATATATATATATAGATGGTCTTTTCTGCCCAGCTCCTGTGCCAAGTTGGAAGTCATTGTATTGTGCGTCAACACTCTGTTTCCAAAATGGCCACCTCTGCTCACCCTCATAGCGCAGGTTGCCCATGTGCAGGATGGCCGCCAGTAGTTTGGAGATCTCCCAGTTCTCTGTCTCTGTGAACATCAGCACCTTCATGGCTGACAGGATGCTGGAGTAATCCTTTAGGTCATCACGTCCATCACATTTCGTACAGTTCCCCTGGAGAGGGACACACACATACACATACATAAGCATAGGTACATAGGTATACACAAATCCATATATATATAGAGAGTTCGGCCAGGTTTTAGAACGGATGGCATGTTAGCGTATTTATTCTCGAAATGTTGGTGATGTAACAATACGAGTGCCTTCGATAATTCTATGAAATGCCCTGCTGTAAACAAGCAAAAGAGAGCAGCGAATTTAGCATACGTTTTTATTTATTAGCATTTGGGATAATATGTATCCAAGTCTGTATTGTGGTGTCAACAAATTGAATATATGCTTTCACTGGACATCTTCAGAGGTTTTGAAAACTATCAGAAATCTCTCTACACATCCAACCCTTACACACAAGCACACACACACACACACACCACACACACACAACTACCCATAAACACACACACAAAAGCACACACACACATGCACAGACACACACACACACACACACAGTCAACACTGCTTTTCTAGTATATGCCATTTATTAAACTGTGCGAACAAGACACTGCCCACTTTATATCTGTGAATAAAGTCATACTTAACATAGCACATTCATTATCTATACTGTATATCGTATTGTGTACACATCAGGCTATTACAGTTTTTCTCCATTGGTTTGGCTCATTTCTTGAAACAGAAATTACATTCTCAAAACTACATGGACAAACCTCCAAACCACTTGGCAATTGTTCACAACAGAATTGAATTTCTCATTCATTTCATCAAATTGCAAATGTCTAAGTACATGTCTCAATGTCTCAGTACATCTTTGCAAATGATTAAGTACAGGTAGCCTACATTTAGCACAATTTCCAAGTGAATAGATCTTGTTGATCTAAACTGATTGTTGATTCTCAGTCTAATGGTTGTTCGCTCCAAAACGTGTCAGCGTCATTTCATTGTATAAGTCATCACATGCACAATAGTCTGTTCAATTGTCAAAATTAGTCAAGAACATAATACCATGAATACCATATATGAATCCCTTGGAACATTTGATAAATTTATTACAGCAATTGACAGTCAGGTGAAACTAGAACTTGACTAACGAAGGAGGAGTTTCACACATCTCAGATGACCAATGAAACAGTATGTTTAGTTACCTGACAGGTGCTGTCCATGACTGTGAATGCTGCCAAACATGTATGTAAAGAGCTTGACCATGCAGGACCAGTACAATTTCTGAACATGGAGGCACCTGGCCAAGTAAATGAACAAGGGCAACTGCCTGCTCGAGGAAGAGGAAGAAGAAGAGGAGGAGGAGGAGTAAGGGTGCGTGGTGGTGGAATAGGGGGAAGAGGCCGAGGAGCACGAAGACACCATGCTGTCCCGGATGAAATTCGGGCCACAATTATAGACCATGTCATCAACCATGGCCTCACAATGGCGGAGGCAGGTCGCCGAGTGCAGCCTAATGTGCCTCGCTCAACAGTCTCCTCCATCATCCAAACCTTTCGCAGGGAAAACAGGTATGTAGTCAGTCAATGATGGAATTATATGTTGTATAGGACAGGACACTTTGCATAGAGCAAGAAATATATTTATTTACATATTTACCTATTCATTTAGTGTGTGTGTGTGATAGGCCTACAGTAATATCTTACCTCAATGGGATGTTATGATACTAAAAATGACAAGAAAAACATTGGAGAAAATAAACTATGGAATAGTTTATTTTCTACAGTATTGATGATACAGTTTACAGTAGTATTCCAGTCACTGTGCAGTGATGCATTAGAATTGTGGTAAAGTTACTGTAAGTAAAACAACAATACAATTACATAGGTAACTCATTCTGTAAGGAATACATAAGGTATACATTACGAATGGAGTGTTGTCCTTTGACTTCTATATCTAGGATTGGACGACAACCTTGCACAGGTGGCAGAGGAAAACTTCTCAATGAACAACAAGAACAAGAGATCTGTAACATGGTGATGGCAAATAATGCCATCACATTGAGACAGATCCGCGCTGCAATCCTACAAGACAATGCCATATTCCAAAATGTCAACTCTATAAGCATCTCCACAATAGACCGGATATTGAAGAAGCATCAGATGACAATGAAGCAAATTTACAGGGTACCATTTGAGAGGAACTCTGATAGAGTGAAAGAGCTGCGGTACCAGTATGTACATGTAAGTCAGTTACTGGTTGTCCATCATTATAACATTTTTACAATTAAGCAGTGGTTCCCAAACTTTTTTGGCTTCAGTACCCACTTTACCTGATTTGTGTATCCAGGTAATCCAGGTATGGAAGTATTTGATTTATCTGACTTCAACATTTCGCCTAAAAACTGCAGCTTACTGTATGATGCAATTATCATTATAATCCTTATTTTGAAGAATATAACATACAATAAGAAAAGGGGTCAAAGAGCTGCAATTAGTGCCTCCCATGTAAATCTATCTAATACTGTGGGTTTTACTGTAACATTTCAGTAAGTCTAGTCATTGATGATTTCCCCCCTCCCCTTTCTGTCAAATACCCCCTGTAGTACCTCTGCATAGGGGTACATGTACCCCAGGTTTGGAACCACTGGAGTAGTGGCCAGTAGTATATTGAACTTGTGGAGAACATAGAACATTCCTATGTAATTGTCTGTAACTGTAGTGTATGACTCTTCTGTATGACTGATTTGATGTTTTCTTTTTTTACGCTATTGTAGAGAATAATGGCATTGGAAGGAAACGAGACCCATCACATCCTCGTGTTTGTGGATGAAGCTGGCTTCAACCTGGCCAAGGGCCGAAGACGTGGCCGTAATATTATTGGCCACCGGGCCATGGTGGATGTCCCAGGCCAGCGAGGGGGCAATATAACTATGTGTGCTGCCATATCGGAGAATGGTGTGGCCACTCACATCCCCAGTCTTGGCCCATACAATACACAGAAGCTCCTCATCTTCTTGGACCGCCTTCATGTTGATTTGATCCCTGAAAATGAGAGCGGTCTCGTAGGGCCTCACCTACCACAATATGTCATTGTATGGGACAATGTGAATTTCCACCGTGGCCCGCTCATCAGGGCCTGGTTCACTACTCATCCAAGGATGGTCATGGTGTTCCTACCACCTTACTCTCCTTTCCTCAATCCTATTGAGGAGTATTTCTCCGCTTGGAGGTGGAGAGTGTATGAGCATCGGGCTCAAGATCAGAGGTCCCTGCTCCATGCAATGGACGCTGCGTGTGAGGATATTACAGCAGATCAGTGTAGGGGATGGTTGCGACATGCACGCCGTTTCTTCCCTCGTTGCATCGCAAGGGAGAATATACGCTGTGATGTGGACGAGAATCTGTGGCCAGACAGACAGCAGCGTGTGGATGGCCAGGAGGGTGAGGACAGCGACCAGTGAAGAACTGTTAGTTGTGAAACTCCAGCTTTATTTACAGCACTGTAGGCTGCATATAATTTTCATTGTTTTTTGTTTGTGTGTTTATATTACAGTATATTATGCTGTATACATTTTCTTTTTACTCTGATGTATGGAAGTTACTTTATGTGTGTGAATGATAATGGTTACAATTTCCTTGGCAGTATGAGTGCAATGTGTGATGTCAAACCTTGGAGGCTACTCTTACCCTAAAATCCTATTTATTTTTTTCAGTTTTATACACAATTGTATTCTGTTAGCTAGACAAAAAACAGTACAGTAACCATTGTCAATGAAGGACTGGGCTAAGACTGAAAGGTGGACATGAGGGATATTTCAATGGTCCTCTGCCATAGTGACAAAACATCTAAACATTTTGACTTGCAGTGCTTACACAATGCCAAAGGGACGAAGCATTTTGGGGGCACTGACTGTTTAAATGAGAAGGAAATTTAGTTTTGACACATGCGTGAACTGTTTTGGGAGAGGTATGAGCTTTTGCAGGTGAACCATGGTGTTGTGCCGAACCATCCACGTTATTTTGGCTAAAGCACCAAGAGTGTTGAGAACGTCCGGTCTGTTTCAAGAAATGAGCCAAAGCAATTGAGAAGGATCTTTGCCATTTTCGTGGCACTGACTCCTTATATGGGAAAGGAATTTAGTTTTGAAGCATGAGTGAACAGTTTTAGGAGAGATATGAGCTTTTGCAAGTGAGCTATAGTGTTGTGCTGAACTGTAAGACTGTTTTGCCAAATGATCTTAGAGTTTTGAGAATGTAATTTCTGTTTCAAGAAATGAGCCAAACCAATGGAGAAAAACTGTAATAGGCATACTACCTCTTCTATTACTGGTTATTTTTTATTCAACTCCTTATTATTGATGTTGATTATTGTACTGCAATGTTGAGGGAGCTAGCACACAAGAATTTAGCTGCACCTTTTATACCTGCTCTAAGCTGTGTACGGGACAAATAAAATTGGATTTGATATACACTGCGAGTTATACACACACACACATGCACACACGCACACACATGCTCACACACACACACACACACACAGGCATACACATATACAGTAGGAGCTGCACACATGTACACACACCCACACCCTGCCCACACCCACTACTCACCATGGTGAGGTAGGAGTAGTCATTGGCGAGGCCCAGGCCCAGCTTGGTCTTCAGCTCTGGGGCCATGCCCCGCAGCATACAGTAGAAGATGTGGTAATTCCTCTCATCCGCAGCCTGGAGGGGAGAATAACACACCAGGGTCGTGTTCATTGGGTACAAAACGGAAGAAAACTGTGAAAACTGAAGAAAACTGTGAAAACTGAAGAAAACTGTCAAAACAGGAAACTGTCTGCAAACTCGAGACTTCTCCAGTACGTACTGTTCTATTCCCCTCTATAGCCCCTCCCCCCTGGACCCTTACCTGTCTATAGACCCTACAGCCCCTCCCCCCTGGACCCTTACCAGTCTGCAGACCCTATAGCCCCTCCCCCTGGACCCTTACCTGTCTATAGATCCTATAGCCCCTCCCCCCTGGACCCTTACCTGTCTACAGACCCTACAGCCCCTCCCCCCTGGACCCTTACCAGTCTGCAGACCCTATAGCCCCTCCCCCCTGGGTCCTTACCTGTCTGCAGACTCGGGACTTCTCCAGAAGGTACTGTTCTATCTTTGCCCCCTCGATGGCACCTCTCTTGTTAAAGTGGATGTCGATGTACTTCCCAAAGCGACTGGAGTTGTCATTCCGGATGGTCTTAGCGTTCCCGAACGCTGCATGGACGAAAGATTAAAGCCCAGACTTAGTGTAACAGATGCAGTTCAGTGAACAATGCTCGCATGAAGAATCACCTTGCCTGAGACCTGAGGAGTATTATGGCATTCAGTATACCTGGGTTTCCAACCCTGGTCAGATAGTCATATTAGCTAAGAGAGACATAGCTAATACAGTCCACACGTAGAGTACACAGACGGAAACGGGGGGCTTTAGACATGGATAGGAGGCCCAGTTGTTCTGTTAATTCCGGGTCACACCAGGTGTTAATGCCAGCTTGGCATAGAAAGGTGAATGAATGCCCTGCCTGACTTAAGCTGTACACCAAACTGTCAGATCACTACTCATGGCCTGGAACGTGTTTACTTCACCCCTGTACTAGTTCCAGGGAACTCATGCATCTGTCTATTTCTCTTTCAAGGACTCTTTGAAGAATGTATCCCAAGTTCAGCATTTCTTACACAGCTTCTGTGATTCTAGCCTACAAATCATAAATAAACCCCAAACCTGCCCCTGAGGTAGCTTGGGGCGAGTGTATTTCTGCATTCTACACAAGACCACATTTGCCTTGCCAAATAACACAAGGACAAGTTGGCTAAGGCAGAGACAGACAGCAAGCACCCTAGCTATTAAATTGTATCAGTGCTGCTGAGTGGATGTAATGTAGTTAGTCTCACAAAATTCAATAGAACACTGGTATGGACATTGGCATCCATGGAAACATAACTACAAGATGGCCATCTTGGTCAGGGTATTTTTTCAATTAGACTGGTTTGGAATTTGACCAAGATGGCTGCCATTAATAGCCCATTCTAGTGTCTCATCTCTATGTTGAGTCTGACCTTCCAGTATGGGGTTGGCCTCCAGGACCTGTTGCTCTATCCAGGAGTGTTGTCCACTGATGGCTGCCAGGAACTGCAGGATCAACTTGGTGCTCTCTGTCTTACCTGCCCCAGACTCACCACTGAGGAACACAGGAGGAGATACAATATTTTATGTACAGAAGCAGACAGGCAGGCAGGCAGACAGACAGACAGGCAGGCAGACAGACAGGCATACACGCACACACACCACACACATGTAAATACAGAAACTCAAACACATGCACACTTAAATAGAGAAACCCAAATGCATGCGCGCGCACACACACACACAAATACACTAACCTGATGATGCAGCACTGGTCCTTGTTGTTCCTCTGCATGTTGAAGTAGCAGTTGTCTGCTATGGCAAAGATGTGAGGTGGCATCTCCCCAATCTTCTTATTGGTGTACAGACGGATCTGGTCTGGAGTGTAGATGGGCAGCAGCTGGTAAGGGTTTACCGCCACCAGAATCGACCCTGTGTAAGTCTGCAGGTAGAGGTCAAAGTCAAAAGGTGAAATGGTTGAGGGTCATGCCAAGATTTTACATTTACATTTAAGTCATATAGCAGACGCTGTTATCCAGAGCGACTTACAAATTGGTGCATTCAACTTAGGATAGCCAGTGGGACAACCACCCTTTTTTACATTTTATTTATGGGTGTGTGGGGAGGGGTGGGGGGGTAGAAGGATTACTGTTATACCATTCCAGGTATTCCTTAAAGAGGTATGGTTTCAAGTGTCTCCGGAAGGTGGTCAGTGACTCCGCTGTCCTGGCGTCGTGGATATAGCGATAACTTGATTTGTCGCTAGTGATAGCATGATTTGTTGCTAGTGATAGCACAATTTGACACTTTCTTTCACTGTGATTGTGATTAGGCTAGTCACTAGGCTTGTGATCACTAAGATAATGTATTGTGAGCCTGATGAAGACTGATCATTTAAATTTAGAGCTCCAAAACCATTGGAAGTTCAGGCTGAAAATCACCTTAATGTGCATAATCTAGACATAATAATCAGTCATAATAACCCATGATTTGTTGCACCTCCAAGCCTGCAGGCCAAAGCTGTGGTGTGTTCTAAAGGCTCACGTGTGTTGAACATTTACGCTTCAATGGTCAAAGCACACTTAACAAGCTGGATCAAAGGTTAATCACGAAGCAGAGCTCTGCCTTCAGCCTAGCAGAGATTATATATAGCCATTCATTCAGTGACAGCGAAGAAAATGATTAATGTCATGGGCTAGCTTGTTAGCATGTTCCTTTATAGCTTAAAATAAATAAATAGGAAAGAGCATGCTTGTCTCTGTAGTTTGTACTCACCCTTCCCCCACAATTTGTCTATATGGAGAGATAGGGAGGGGGATGAAGAGGGAGAGGAAAGAGGTATAAGGAAAAAGCACAAAACAGGCACAAGTTGATGAGGGACCGATTTGGGAGGGGGGGGGTCTCAATACAGGGGCTGGGTCTCAATACTCTGTAACAACTTCCTTAACCACCAGTACCACAGTCAAAGGTTTGGACACAGAGTGTGCAAAGCTGTCATCAAGGCAAAACGTGGCTACTTTGAAGAATCTCAAATCTCAAATATATTTTCATTTGTTTAACACTTTTTTGGTTACTACATGATTCAATATGTGTTATTTCATAGTTTTGATGTCTTCATTATTATTCTACAATGTAGAAAATAATTTAGTAAAAATAAAGAAAACCCCTTGAATGAGTAGGTGTGTCCAAACTTTTGACTGGTACTGTATATCAAATGGACTGAACACGTTTCCATCATGTGTCCTGCCAGAGAAGTGATACTGAGGAAAGGATATGAGGAGAGGAAGCTGGTTCAAACCATTGAGCCACAGCCAGGCAGGTAAGATAAGGAACCAGTGGGGTTGGGGGGTTGTGGAGGCCAGGGGAACCAACATGCCAGCATAACCGAGAAAGTAAGTCAAATAACCACACAGACAAGGAAAACCCCATAACAGTCCATCATACATCAACAATATGAGCTACATGTCACTAAACAAGGTCACTGTGTTTCATAGAATACGTTCTAAACCGTACTTCCTTGTTATTTGAAGGACTCATACAATGTAAAATGATCAATGGTGGAAAAAGTACCCAATTGTCATACATGAGTAAAAGTAAAGATACCTTAATATAAAATGACTCAAGTAAAATTAAAAGTCACCCAGTAAAACACTACTTCAGTAAAAGTCTAAAAGTATTTGGTTTTAAATATACTTAATTATCAAAAGTAAATGTAATTGAAAAAATATACTTAAATATCAAAAGTAAAAGTAAAAGTATAAATAATTTCATATTCCTTATATTAGGCAAACCAGACAGCACGATTTTCTAGTTTTTTTTAAATGTACGGACAGTCAGGGGCACACTCAACACTCAGACATAATTTACAAATGAAGCATTTGTGTTTAGTGAGTCTGCCAGATAAGAGGCAGTAGGGATGACCAGAGATGTTCTCTTGATAAATTTGTGAATTGGACCATTTTCCTGTCTTGTTAAGCATTCAAAACGTAACGAGAACTTTTGGGTGTCAGGGAAAATGTATGGAGTAAAATGTATATATTTTCTTTAGGAATGTAGTGGAGTAAAAGTAAAAGTAAAAATATCAATAGTAAAGTAAAGTGAATATACTCAAAAAAACGACTTAAGTAGTACTTTAAATATTTCTACGTAAGTACTTTACACCACTGAAAATGATGGTCCGGTAGTGGTACCAAAGGCGAGCAGCCAGTGTTGCAGGGGGGACTCACATAGATGACATGCTCGTTGTAGCGGATAAGCAAGTTCCGCAGGATGCCGGCCTCATTGAGGTCCCCCAGGCGGATCATGTCCTCCACACCGTGGATGGAGGTGGGGTGCATGGGCTTAATGTTGGTGGCATTCTGGGGCGAGATCCAGTGCTCCTGATGGGAGAACAGTTACAGTACAGTCACAGCCATTGAGGAACTATGGTGTCATAGGCTACTGTGTCCATGTCGGCTTGTTAGAGTCAGCTAAAGATCCTGTTTGAATGCATCCTCCTTTCCTTCCTTCCTTCCTTCCTTCCTTCCTTCCTTCCTTCCTTCCTTCCTTCCTTCCTTCCTTCCTTCCTCTTCCTTCCTTCATTCCTTCCTTCCTTCCTTCCTTCCATGAAGTAATCACTGATAAAACATGAGTGGAAAGGTGTAAGCAAGCTTTCCATTGCTTTTACCAATACATGTCATGATTACTTCAAGGAAGGGAGGAAGGAGGGATGCATTTGAACAGGGCCAAAGTCTTGTTCGTCAAAATCTCGTTAACGTCTTGTTATCTTGTCAAAGTATTTTCAACGTTTCGTCAGCGTCTCATCTCGTGTGGACTTACCCTCCCCTCGTCGTCCAGCACCTGGATCTGTCCCGAGTCACAGAGCTTGAGCACGGCTCCCACCGGGACATCGAACTCCCGGCCCGTCTTAAGGTCCAACCAGACATAGTCCCCCTAGAAAGCAAACACAAACACAATCAGCAATCAGGAAGGAATTCTCAGGAAACTCCTTCAGCAAGTTTATGTACGTTACATAAAGTTTATGTACTTTATGTAATGCTTCATTTTAAGGGGCCTTATTACAGTGTAATTACATATGTAATGACACTGTATCAAGTATTGTAATTAATTGTAATAATACATAGTTACACTGTAATAACAACATTTAACTGGTGGTAATTACAGTCTAATTACAGAGGTGTAACAACGAATGCTTGTTACCATGCTTGTTACAAATGTTAAAGTTTCCAATAGCATCCCAACCATATATCCCAACGCACCATATTTCAGCCTGCACATTTGAGCCTGCACAAACCATGCGAAAAGTGTTAGCTAATTTAATAAAACCGACCACCTCATTGACAAAATTCTGCAATAAAGGGCTCTGGAGTCTGATGCCCAGGCCTGATGGCATGAACAAGTTCACAAATGGTTAACCTAAAAAAATACTTTAAATTGTTAAATAAATTAACTGTGCATTTCACAATGGGTCAATTACTTAACCATCAATGAATTTTTTTTAGACACATTAATAAACATTTATGGTTAAAATTGTGAGATAGTCATTCGTGCTTGACAAATTGTAAGCCTATTAATCTTGGTTAAATAATGGTTTATAAATGCGCTTAAAATGTTCATAAGACAAACTCTTATTCCATCATGTATCCTTGCAAGGGTTTCACTGTTGAGGAACATTCTCACTTTTGGATTGGTGAAATTATTTATTTATCCCAGGAATTAAGGCATAATGTCAACATCTACCCATCTGCACAATACACTCAGATGGGTTTGTTGACACTGACATCATGTGACAGTGCGCAAAGAACGGGTCGAGAAGAAGGTCAGTTTGCAAACTCCAGACATGAGAGATTGCCATGAAAGATACAAAGTGTTGTGGACAAGACAAAAACATCACAGGAGATAGAAAGTAAGTTTTCCATGCTAGCTAACGTTAGCTGGGCTTATCTTCCCTGAACCTTGTTCTCAAGGTATCCGTACCCCAAGGGTATTACATGAGAAACATCCAGCATGTTAAAGTTATCTAGCTTGCTAGCTAGCCACTTGTGTCAACACACTATGAGGAATGTTAGATCCTTTTCAATGTAGCTAAACACTAGCTAAATTATGAGTGTTATCAAGCACTATTATTGTTAGCTGGACAACACAACAACTAGCTAGGTAGCAGGCCTAAGCTATAGAAATCATGATGATAACTAGTATAGGGTAATGAAAATTGTCATAGCTACATACTTCTTCTCTAACACAGATTCCCACAACGTCTCAGACTCCAGGATGTACCCGGCTCCATGAGGGGCTCCATCAGCTGAAACTTGTGCCACCTTAGTTTTAGCTTTATGACCCCAAAAAAAATCTAAACTGCACTGTGTCAGCACAATAGACAGAGCACACTGTGGTGTGTGTAGGGTAGCCATGGAAAGCCATTGGGACGGTTAGGTATGACTCCTTTGGGTTTAGATAAAAAGCAGGAAAAAACGCTTCTCATCTCTGTGGTAGGCTAAGTGAATAACATGATAGGCCTCCTGTAGCTCAGTTGTAGAGCATGGCGCTTGCAACGCCAGGGTTGTGGGTTCAATTCCCATGGGGGCAGTATGAAAAATGTATGCACTCACTAACTGTAAGTCGCTCTGGATAGGAGCGTCTGCTAAATGACTAAAATGTAAAATGTAATGATAAACCTCCGCCTGTAATATTTCATTTTGATTTATAAGTGCGGGGTCAAGTTTCCAGTCGGGCCCTGCTGAGGACGGCGTGTTGGTGGCCGAACTGTCTCCTTCCTGCTCCTCTGCTGTTCCTATGGTGGGCTCTGCAGGAGTGTCTTCCCTATGATGGGGTGTGAGAGGTTTTCATCCTGATATTGACTGACACTAAATTGATTATGACTGAGCTCTCTCCGGAGTCTAGAGAGGAGAACATGTGCTCTGACCCTTTCCGCAGGCTTGGAGAGAAAATGACTGCACCGCAAAATGTTCCTGGGTGTGGTACGGAAGTTGTGTCACTGCTGGAGGGTCTGGAAACAACCCTGGTGTCCACTGTGCATTGTCCGGGAGAGAATGCTCCCTTACCTGCTTCAACAAAGGCCCATGCAGGGAAGTTTGTGCCCTCGCCTCGCCAAAAGGTTAGTGGACAGTGTTTAGGGCCTGGGCAAAGTGTCCATCTGCCTTGAGGAAACTGCTATGTTGTTCTCAGTGGCGGTCGGTGCCGTTTAAGATTAGGGAGGATTTTTTTTAAAATCATGGCCTTATTTCTATTACAGCATATTGGATGACTGTCATTCCTATTTCATTCACCGAGCTTGATAGGTTTAGGCTACTACATGATGCTCCAATTTTCCCTATACCCATCATGAGGTTGCTACAACCTAGCCTTCGAATGAAAGTTTACAACATAGGTGCATAGGTCGAGAGAAATGTTTTAGTAATCAAGTTGACAGACAGTAAAACATTCAATACCACCTTGCACACTCTTGCCTGCATTTAGTTGATCTAGGGTGTAATCAATTGTCCAAACCGTTGCAAAAGAGAGTTTCTGTTGTACAAATGCAGGTATCTTTATCCCTGTTTCATTTGCTTCCGTTTAAGAAACGTTTTTCAACATAATCGACAGAATAAATACACCCCTGATCACACGCACACACAGTTCACTTTCATAGCAGCCACATACAAACAGCATGATCACTTTCCTCGTTGTATAGTTCATACTCACATCTACACACTCTCCTCCTTTTCCCTTTCCTTGTGGACTTCAGTGCACAACACAACAGCTGGCTGTGACCAGGTGAAAAAAAAATCCAAGCCAAACCTTCATACCATAACTGCTAACCGCTACACACAGCCTACATCGCTGTCACCATATTAGCGAATGTCAAGTTTTAAAAAATACAATGAAATATAGCTAGCTCTCTCGCTCTCTCGCTTCTCCTTAATCTTTTAAGAAATTAATTTGTTCAAAACTGTTCAACTATTGTCTTTCTCTCTCTTTGAGTCAATTACTCACCACATTTTATGCACTGACATCCTCCAGAAGTCGTCATAACTAATGTGGAAGTCTGTGGAAGGGAGTGAGAACCATGAGCCTCCTAGGTTTTGTATCGAAGTCAATGTACACTGAGGAGGATGGAAACTAGCTATCCATTGGCTACACCATGGTTCTACCCCAGAGAGTGCTGCTGAGGCTACTGTACACCTTCTTTGCAAAACAGTGTTTTAATCAATTATTTGGTGACGTGAATATATTTAGTATAGTTTGATCTAAAAATGATAACTTTTTTATGTTTCACAATTTACATTTTTCTGAAATTCACTGAGGATGGTCCTCCCCTTCCTCCTCTGAGGAGCCTCCACTGGATGTTCCTTTATTATATCTCTCCACTACTTCCACTGACTCCAGCCAATTCGTGCACACGATTTGTTTCATTGTGTCAATGTTTGTCAATGTTTATCAGTGAAGTTACTGTAATTACAACATATTCCCCCATTAATTTAGAATGTTTGGTTACAGAAAATGTTCTACTTCATAAAATATAATATACATTTATACTATTCCCATTTTCCCAGTGGAAATGTTGTTTGGAGAACTCACAAACCGAGCAACACTTGTGGTTTATTTAAAGTGGAACTGACAGCATTTGAACTACTTTTCAGATATGAAATAAACAGACAAACATAATATCAGTAAAACGTATCAAATTCTCAGTTTATGCTGCAAAAGCAACTTTATAAGAGGTTTTAAAAATAGGTTATATTTGGAAGGATGACATTGTTGGCAGAATAAGATGGATGCAGTTCAATGCATGATTCATATAATTCACCAATACAAGTCAATAAGTCTCTGAAGTTGGAGACTCTTATCTCCCTCACTAACTTTAAGCGTCAGTTGTCAGAGCAGCTTACCGATCACTGCACCTGTACACAGCCATTCTGAAATTAGCCCACCCAACTACCTCATCCCCATATTGTTATTTATTTTGCTAATTTGCACCCCAGTATCTCTATTTGCACATCATCTTTTGCACATCTATCATTCCAGTGTTAATACGAAATTGTAACTATTTTGCACTATGGCCTATTTATTGCCTTACCTCCATAACTTACTACATTCGCACACACTGTATATATATTTTCTGTTAGTATTTTTTGACTTTATGTTTTGTTTACCCCATATGTAACTCTGTGTTGTTGTTTTTATCGCACTGCTTTGCTTTATCTTGGCCAGGTCGCAGTTGTAAATGAGAACTTGTTCTCAACTGGCTTACCTGGTTAAATAAAGGTTAAATAAATAAAATAAAAAATAAATGAATTGGTAGTCCAACAAATATTGCTATCAGGTTGTACATCACAGCTGGCCTGATACATTTGCTTCTTCCAGCCATTCTGGATGCACTGTTTCAGTTTTTACTCAATATTTTGGAAATAAACAG